GCACCGCACTGAGTCCGGGACTCAGGGGCGGGGGCTTGGAGTCCCAGTTTAGATAGGGACCTGGACACCTAGAACGGGAGGGTGATGGGTTGGTCCTGCTTGTGCCTGGGTATAAGCGGGGCATGTGTTTTTGGGGTACCCAATGGAGACATTGGTTCGCGAATCGCCACCAAGTCGGTACGACTTGTCTTAACTCTAGCACCATAGTAAGAGCTAAAAGATGAAAGATGAAAGATGAAAAGAAAAGGAAATCTGATTGCTTACCACCTGCTTGAAAGTCGCACAAGTGCTTACATAGAATGGTTGGTTAATGAACCAATGCGGCTATTAATAAAAATCGAATATAAGGACGCACGTTTAGTAATGCTTCCTACAAATGCAATAACCCACAAGCTAGATAGCCTTACATATCCTTGGAGTCTTTTCTTTCCTCCCATCGGGTAAGTTTTACGGAGTACAATTGAGTACTCAGGGTTTTATTTCCCCTGTTGCAGGTGACAGGTGGAGGCTAGAGCTGACATTTGTGTGTGGATTCCTCCTTGTGGGCTTAGAGAGAATTTTCTTTACGCTGTGACCATAGTTTTTATTTATAACTCTCACTAAATGCTTTTATAAATAAAAATTTTATAATCTGTTGTCATCATTTATATATCAATGTTTCATCATGCCATGAATAGATAATTATTTTCGCTGTAATTCTGATCACATGTTTATATTCCACTGTTACATTAAATTGTTCATAACTCTATAATATGATTACATCCCGCTGTTATAATAATAAATATTATACTCTGATGTTGTATTAAAAGTGATGTAAGAAATTGTTAAGAATGATGTAAGCTTTATTCTCTTATTTGTGATCCTATGGAAAAAAAGTGGATTTTCGGGTTCTCCCCTGGGGTGTGCCCGACGGAAACCGAGTAATTTAGTGTTCTCCTTTGGGTGCTTAGTGTCTAATGGAAGACGAGCACTCTTGGGAGGCATTAGATTAGACGGTTCTGTCACATAATCAAAGTATATAGTTACGAAAAAAAACACCATATTTGTCAGATCACGCATGCATTAATTAAATCTAGAAAAAAATTATATGAAAAACTTACCTTATTTATCTTATTTTATAAATTAAAATAAATATATATATATATATTTCACATATCAATCAACTTCCATCGTCCACTCTATGAATTTAAGATGGACTTATATGTGAACTTTGAAAAGCTATGGAATCTCAAATTCCAAACCAAATAGCATAATCCATTAAGTAGATTTCAATTCCTCCAAAATAAAAGAATTCAAACAGCCCTTAGACAAGAATTAGGAAAAATTTTGAAGCTATCAATACTTTTAGTTTGAAAACATGTAAGGTATATGTGTAGAATTGTATAGAAAAAATGCTTGCAAAATATCATAAATATCAAGGATTCTAAGAATACATTTTAGAAAAAATTAACTAATCAAAGATATACATGAAAAATAGTGCAGGGTCAAATGCGATGAGATCTTGGACCTCTATGAATAGGATACTAGCTTTTCCATTCACACATATAGTAGACCTATCTTTTGTCACGTACAAGCAGAAGACGTTGAAGATGGTGGGAGCTCATAACAATGGTTGAGTGTATGGGCCTATTTAGGTTGTTCATGTCGAGCTATGCCCATTCTGGACAGAATAGAAGGCCTGCATGCTACAAGTAGGTACAAATTCCCGTGTACTCAAATGAGAATGCTTAATGAATAACAGAACTAGTAACCATCCCTGCTGACTGCTTCTTCCTCCTTTTACTTGTGCTATTCTTCTCCATTCCTCTTCGATTATATCTCAGGTTGCTTCTTCGCAAGCAAGGACTGTAACATTTAAGTATCCAGAGCTGTCGAACCTCCACTATAACTTTTTTCCTACCACCAGACCTTCCTCAGGCTTTGATTGGATATTATCGGATTCATCTCAATCCACATGTGTTGGGTGGATTGGGGTGGAATTTAGTTCAAGTTCTACTCTCCAACACATATGGATTGATGCGAAACCGACTACATCAAAACAAGGCCTCAAGTGTGAGCGGGATGGCTCCATCGCGCAAGCCCATGAAGTTCTAGCAACAACTCACGATCACCATGGAGGAACTCATAAAGCAGTATGAAGGGTTCCAAACAATGCTTTAGCAACCGTAGACATGCTAAGCAATTTGGAAGCATGGTGTGCGACCATGGACAAGGTGTTCAGCGGTTTGCTTCAGAAGATGTCCGAGATGGTGAGCCATGTAGACACCTTGAAAGCTCGTCCACCTCCGCCACCGCCTGAGTTTGGGTTGGGGCATAATCCGTCTGCCACACCTGATCATGGGTATGTTGCATGATCCCTCTTCCTTGGGTTTTGAGTTGCTTGGTGGTTTTTGGGACTCAATGCCTCGCAATTTACATGTCTATATGCACAAGCATTTAGCGCCTAAGAGAGTTGTAATCTCTAAATTTATATAGTATTTTTTTTCTTTGAAGCTACTCCTTTGTAAAGCCTATAGTTGAATGCTTACACATAGATCCATGTCACGAATGTGCGACAGCTCCTTACACGGCATTTCCATGGAATATATGTCCCCGTCCAATTTTTTCCTAATATATGAACAAATCGACCTTCTTAATTGCCAATCAACCTGTTCGCTTATTGGTTTCAGCCAAAGCCTATCAGTCAGCCAACATTATTTTTCTCTCACAGCAAACCAGCACCAGCCGGACTTATCTGCTCAGAAACCAACCAGCGAACAGGCTGAATAACTTTAAAACTGGTCAGATATGGATGTATGACCGTCCATCAGTTTTTTGTACCTACATGTATCTAATTTGCATAATGTGCAGCGCTTCGCTTATCATTACTTCCATTTTTGGGACGATCATATGGATGGATCCCTGAAAGTAAATTAAAGCTGATGCTTGGCGCACACCAAAGGGTGGCTGAGACAGCAAAGCTCCTCTGTATCCCCTTCTTCCTCAAGACTTCTAAAGATATTTTTTCCTTCCATTCTTTATCTCAGCTTCCTTCTTTCATTGTCTTCTTTTCTGCTTTTTGTCACGCAGTGCATATATACTGTACATACCACGCAGATCGATCAACGGTCAGGGCAAAGTTGGTAACACAATGTTCTCTCCTCAGGACTGATGAGGAGATATAAATCAAGAATCAATAATATAAACATCAGCAAGGTTGAGAATTTTTTTTTATAATGGCAAGGTTGAACTTTGAAACACCAAAATATATATAACCATGCAATCATCTAGCATAACAGAGAATATGTGCGGGAATGATATTTTACAGTAAGAATAGGGTTTAAACAAACATATATAACCGATCAAACTTAGTATCTTAATCATGAAAAAATGTTGTTCTATTTTTAAATTTTATTCTAGATATCAAATAATATGACATGAGAACTGCTACTCTATACCACGCATATATATCTTGCGTAAGATTCAACCTAGTTCTTCAGATATGCTCCATAAGGTAGGGTGTATGTGTGTGCGTGCACATATGTTATGAGTGTTCATGTATATGGTGTTTTTGCTTAAAAAATCCATAAGAAATCATTAACTGTTCATATATCTCATTCGAGATTTCAATGTACAATTGTAACCATACTCTTCCTTAGGTTAGAATATATAAGATGAGGTTTTGGATGGCTAATTTGAGTGGCATGTGCACCATGTGTCAAGTATAGGCCTGTTTGTGACTGGTTCACTCTAGGTTTTCTATCTACTATATCTACTACAAAAACATCCACAATGGAGCAAGTTTGCCAAAAAAATAGTTCATGAATTGGGAGGCTTGGTGTGCTCCAGAAAATAATGGAATCGGGGTGTTTGGAACTGCATGCTTGGAGTTTAGAGTTTGGGCAACCGTATATATCTAACTAGAGGTACTATATAAGAATTCAATTTCAGTAGCCTAGCCAGATATATGATACAATGTGCACTTTTGATCACCGACAAGCACTACTACAAACCGATCTATAGAGGCGGCTGGAATACCTCTATAAAGGCGGCTGGCGAGCCTCCTCTACTTTTCCATCTCGATTTGTAGAGGTGGCTGGGAATAGAGCCGCCTCTATCCAGAAAGGTTTCCATTGCTAAAAATCATTTTTGTAGGATCATCATCCCACAATCTACAACAGAGCGATTCATACATATCAATCTCTCATCAATCAAGGCAAAGGACTCAAGATCAGATATATACTAGGGAGCAGATCAGGCTAGGGAGACATATAAAAGTGTAGATTTTGTATGTCTCCCTAGTGAAAAAATTAAAAAAAAACTACGCTTTTGTGTGTCTAGACTAGACTCTAGAATAAAACCTGCGCAGTGATGTACTGCAGCTAGTAGATGGAGGGGCAGAGGGCGAGACCAAGTCGGCAAGCATGCATGCATGCCTCTGTCAGTGCAGGGTTGGAAGAGAGGAGAGGTCATCTAGTCTTCTGGACTCTAGAGAAGGGGCCAAGGGCGGCATGCATGATCCTGGAGCCCATGGAAAAAAGGGTCAAGCTTGTGAGGGGCTGAGGGCTAGCTAGGGAATCTGGGAAAGCGACAACTAAAGGTGGCCATCCGATCGCCCAGAATCGTGAGAGAGGCATGACTCTGTCTGGGCAGTGTGTCCGTGTCGACCCCAGGCCCAGCTAGGGCCACCACCTGCTGACGCCGGCGATCGATCGGGAGAAAAACTACTTATAAGGCCAGGGGTCGCTGCAGGTAAAGGCATCGATCCGCAGCAGCGCCCAAAGAGGAACGGAGCAAGCAAGGTGTCTTTGGCGACGCGCTAGCTCACACCCGGCCCCGTGGAGGAGCTCGCTGATCGCCGGCCGGTGCACGGGCGCCCTCCTCCTCCTCGGCGCGCCACGCCAGCTCGATCGGCCGGCCGGAGCACGGCGGCGGCATCATTACGTACGTCTACTACTTCATTCAGTAGTAGCTCATCTCATCACCGCCGCGCCGAAGAGAGAGATACACACATCGTCACCATGTCGCCGGTGGGGCTCCCGCCGGGCTTCCGGTTCCACCCGACGGACGAGGAGCTGGTGAACTACTACCTGAAGCGAAAGATCCACGGGCTGAAGATCGAGCTGGACATCATCCCCGAGGTCGACCTCTACAAGTGCGAGCCATGGGAGCTCGCAGGTACGTGTATAGATACATGTCTTCGCTCTTCCATATGCATCCCGCTCGTCCTCTGCTGCATGCAATCCGCCGCCGCTCCATCGTGAATTCGTGATTATTTTTTGTGCTGGATGATCTGAATTGATCTGCGGATATATACATGCATATGCAATTGCAGACAAGTCGTTCCTGCCTAGCCGTGACCCGGAGTGGTACTTCTTCGGACCGCGGGACCGCAAGTACCCCAACGGGTTCCGCACCAACCGCGCGACGCGGGCGGGGTACTGGAAGTCCACGGGCAAGGACCGCCGCGTGCTGCACCACGCCGGCCGCCCCATCGGCATGAAGAAGACGCTCGTCTACTACCGCGGCCGCGCGCCGCAGGGGGTCCGCACCGACTGGGTCATGCACGAGTACCGACTCGACGACAAGGACGCCGAGGACACGCTGCCCATCCAGGTTAGCTACTTTACCCACTGCTACCTATCTGCTTGTTGCATTGGCTTTGTGATTTTGCATGATGTACCAGCTCCAGTGGCAATGGTAGCGAACGGCTATGCTGAATAAGCTAGGTATATAGCTTACAATGAACTGGTTGGTATGCTGAATAAGCTAGGCAGCTTACATTGAACTAGCTAGATCGTGATTTCATCATGATCGTGATATATTACGTGATGTGTAGTGCATATAGATATAGATACATCATGACGCTCTCCTGTTAGATAGCTAGGTACCTAGTAGAGCTCTGCTCATATTGGGCCCCTTTAATTCCTTCTGTCCTTGATCTTATTGACACAGAAATTTCTGAATGCTCTCCTTTCTCGTGTCTCTACAGTCTAGTAGTATGTAGCTTAGCCGTACTATGTATATGTATATGAATCCTCTATAATCTCCTCTTTTAACTAACATCATCAGATCAGCAGACATGATCTCCGTTGGGCTGTGCATTGATCATGTCCATGAGGTATTAAAGGAGGGCAAAGCAAAACAAAGCAAACCGTCTCACCCTCTTCCCTCTCTAATGGCCAAGCGAGTCGGTGTCGCCCAGGCCACTTTCCGCTTTATTCCATGCTGAATCCATCATCAGCCTCGCACACCCTTCCCTTCCCTTGCCGTCTTTCTTTCTCTCGCGCGCAAATCACGCACGTCCTCTCTTTTCTTATATAACAGAACACAAAAACATTAATCAGTAAAGGGCATGCATGGTTTGTGTTTAATTTGTTCAACGAGATATAGCAAATGTAGCATGTAGTACAAACATAATCATGCATCAGTGTCGTAGTACACGAGTTAACGAGCAAAAAAGAGATATTTTTTTTTTGAAGGTTCTACAGAGATATTATTGGTTAATAATGACTTTTTTCTTTGAATTCCTCGCTCTGTGCTGGCATTCTCATGATCAGGACACCTATGCACTATGCCGGGTCTTCAAGAAGAACGCCATCTGCACCGAGGTGGACGGCCTGCAAGCGCAGTGCAGCATGGCGCTGCTGGAGGGCGCCTGCCAGCAGCTGCTCACCAGCGGCAGCCAGAGCCAGGAGTACCAGACCCCGTCGCCGGACGTGCCCGTCGGGTCCACATCCGGCGGAGCTGACGATGATGCGGACAAGGATGAGTCCTGGATGCAGTTCATTTCCGACGACGCGTGGTGCTCCAGCACGGCGGACGGTGCCGAGGAGAGCACCTCCTGTGTGGCCCTGGCCAGCTGAAACCTTTGATCTGTTCAAAGATGATGCAGCTGAGAAATTCTCCTAATAATAACTATTTTTCTTTCTTTCTCTCTGATCGAGATGCTGCTGCTGCTGCTGCTGCTGCTGCTGCTAGCTATTAATAACCACCGTGATCATGTCTACAAGGTGTAAGATCATATAGCACAATAAGCAAGCATCCGTTGGGTTTTCAGCTTCCATCCTATTGCTGGGAGTTGAAGGATCGTTGCCGCCTCAAGATTGTTGTCAGAATCCTTCCTTGAGTTGAGTTCATAAGGAGGGTTATATATATTTAATATACTATATAGTATATAGGAACAACCAGCTCCCTTGTTTTTCTTTTCTTTTCTTCTTTTTTGGTTTTTCATCGAATGTATTGTACCTTTTGGAGTGGTGTCTTTTATCTTCTGTGAAGCATACTGGATGTAGCGATGCCATTGCATAGTTTTTGTCTTGTGCCTATATATGTGATCAGATGAAATATAATGCACAGAATGAATGGAAATTGAAGACAATTATTATTATTATGACTATTATATACCTGTCCTCTTAAGTTATATCAAGCTGCAAAATCTAGTTATTCTGCTCATCTTACGTAACCAATAAAATGGAAAAAGGAAAAGAAAATTTAATCTCAAAGACAGTTCACTGGTGTACATGTTATCATAAGATGAGGATATTTGCATATATTGATATATATAAACATTATGTTACTGAAGAGTTTGGAGATTATTTGTCAAAAACATTGGCTCATATTTCGCAGCGCCTCAAATATCTACTTCACACATGTAAGAAACCAGTGTTTTCCCTTTAAGCATATATAACCAGAAAGGCTGTATAGCTTGTTCAAACAGCAGTGTTGTTCTTACAATTATATCATATAAAGGTCTCTATAGATCCGCTGATATGGAAAAGCCTAACAGCAGGCGTTCAATCACATGCTGTCAGTAGCGATGCTTTGCTAAGCTAAAACGCTTGGGTTCACAAAGGGTTGAAGAAATACTATTCCATAAGTAATATCAGAGGTTAAAACGCATGCTGTTGCAGGTGCCCTTCTGGAATGTCAATCAGAACCCTGGCCCTCCAGGTCAATAACTATGACCAGTTTGAGCTAGATAGAGATGCTTTGGACCCTCCTACCTTGAAATTCTTGGAATTCATTTTTCAACATGTCACAGCAAATTACCCTCCGAGAAGTGCCATGGTAACAGATTTAAGATAACCAATATGCTGAAGAATACTTTTCTCTAGATTTTAGCAAAATAATAGTGTTTGTATTCTATCATGTTTCTATTTTCTAAGCATCGGGCAAAACTAAAGTTCAGAAGTCTACCTTACAAGCATCTTCATCGTGAAACTTTGTTGCAAGCGTGTTGCCTCTGCAATGTTCAGAGTGCCCCCTTGATGTCAACACAACACCTCAGAACCACCTTTGGACTGTTCCACCATTTCAACAAGCATATCAACTGCAAAAGCAATTTGCAAATCTACATTTAGCTGCAAAAATTGCTTTAGACCACATGCAGCTGAAAGGGATGCATGTCTTTTCTGTAGAATTGGGTAAGACTAGTTGCAGACCTCTTTAAATGCATGTTGTCATTGTAGTGTTGGGGAAGTTAAGAAGAACAAGAAAACAGCGAGTTACCACAGGATGGACAGAACGATTTGTTACCCAACCAAGGTTGAAATCAAATAAAATATCTGTTATATTGGTTGAGATTGTGATCATTGTTTATAAAATCTTTCATTAAAGAAAGAAAGGAACTAGCTAGATCATATCTATTACGGGGGGGAAGACAATCAAGTTTATGTCCAGAGACATGCTAGACAAAAAAGTGAATGACGATCCTCTAGTACTCGAGTACTCCTTTATCAGAATCCAAAGCCAAAAGTTTTGTCTGATCTAGATGGCTAAATAGATAACTGCAAGCTCATTGACACTGGAAGGCCTCATGGCTGCATGGACCTTTAGTTTTCTTTTTACCTTCCATAAACTTTCTGTTTTGCAACGCTGATCCCGATACATAGAGACATGTTACTAGAACACCCTCACCTTTAGTCCTGTTCTCTTCTATGACACTTCAAAGAGACCAAGCTTCTGAAACACAAAAACAAGTTTAGTGAACAAAAGAACATACCCCCACAGCGCAAGAGGGCAATGCCGTGACAACTTTCACGTCCCAATACAGCCCTACACAATCTACTAGCATGAATATCATAAAGGTGTGTTATCCAGGAAACAAAAATAAAAGTTTGTTTCGTTAAAAGATAAGAAAAGAAGATCCAGCGGTGCTGTAAGACGTCCAGAGCTTGTGTGAGAATCCTGTAAAGGGAAACACGGCTACTTGTAGGGCAGGCTTTGAATCATTTCACGGAGGAGCTAAAGAGCACAGTGGCCGGCAACAGAAGGGAAAGACAAAGGGTAAAGACAAAGAGAAAGATCAGCAAGAAAGGAGGCAGCGAGCTGGGAGGCCATGGCGCCGGCTGATCTCCCACCAGGCTTTAGGTTCCATCCAACTGATGAGGAGCTTGTGAACTATTACCTCAAGAGGAAGGTCCATGGGCTCAGCATCGAGCTCGACATAATCCCTGAAGTAGACCTCTACAAATGTGAGCCTTGGGAGCTAGCAGGTAACCTGAAATCCAAGTTCATTCAGTTGTTCATCCTGAGATTTCATCACTCCTAACTGAAATTTGAGATATCTTTGTTTTGGAAGAGAAATCATTCCTGCCTAGTAGAGACTCCGAGTGGTATTTCTTTGGGCCAAGGGATAGGAAGTATCCAAATGGATGCCGCACAAACCGTGCAACCCAAGCAGGATACTGGAAATCAACAGGCAAAGATCGGCGAATCAACTACCAGAACAGATCAATCGGCATGAAGAAGACATTGGTCTACTACAAGGGTCGAGCTCCTCAGGGGCTGAGGACCAACTGGGTGATGCATGAGTACCGCATCGAGGAAAGTGAATGCGAGAACACCATGGGGATTCAGGTTACTCATTCATGTCCCTATGCATCAGTATGAGTTAAACCTTTTGTGTTGCTTCTGTTGCATTTAGTGATCTCAGTCTGCATTCAATGGTATCAAAAATTTAACCGACTTCCCCAAATAAAAAGATGTTTGTTCTCTGTATTAATCAATGTTGTAGTAACCATGTCCTTAAATACACAATAATTTCAAGCATATCATGCTAAAGAAATATTCACGTTGAAACATACAGAAAAACAAATTAGGGCATTGTTTGTTCTAGGAAGCTACGTTGTTTATGCATGGAGTGCATGTAAAGTTAGGGCTCTTATCCCTTTTCTCCCCGTATCCTTCTGTGGCCATAAAGTATTCCTTGCTTCCATGGACCATAGTTACTTTGCAAAGTACAGAAGAAGTTTATTTCCAGTTATCTAATGGGGTCACACATGGTACACTTTTTCTGGTGCTCTTGATAAGACAAATTTAACATCCAATTCCTGGTCGGGGATGTGAAATGATAACACATGATTGTACACAGTTTAGTAGGTGCCGCCATCACCTCATGATGCAGACTTCAGAGTATACATAGTCTGGGTCAGTTGCATGTGGATGCTACCTTAAAGCTTAGACATGTGTGGTGTGACCCAGTGTTGTGTCGGTGCCTCTACACTTTATTCTCCATGTCCCACTACTTTACTTAATAGTAGAAAACTTAAAGCCTGAACCGATAAAATGTCTGATTGACCCCATTTGAATTAGATCTGGCAATACAGGTTCAGTTAGAAAAGGCATTAATTGAGATTTCTGTGAACAAATAAGAGTTGAACAAAGATCATTCATGACAACCAAATTCAGTTATAAAGCAAGTGCCATAGTAATTATTTGGAGGAATGAGTGATTGCTCGTGTTCTAAGAGAAATTTTTAGCCGCATGATATTAACTCTGACTTCTTAGTAGACATTTCTATGAACTAAAGAGTTGAGCTAAAATTGTTCAACCCAAGTACACAGTAAAACCATTTGGAGATGAGTGATTTGCTTTAGCTATAAGTTCTGAATCTGCATACTGTTGATTTCTTGCTGTACACCTGTACTTGATGCTGGATTCTCTGACTCTAGATACTATATCTTAAGAAAACAAATGATAAACATGGAATGTATTTGAACAAAGAGGACATTGGACTCAGTAAAAAGTTCCCAACGGAACAGTGCAGTACAATCTAGATAAACTTTTTCAGTACATACAACCATATATTGTTCAGTAGAGGGAAAGGAAGCACTCAAGAAGAAACTTACTAGCATTCAATTTTGCATGGCAATAACTCTTCATCCAAATTGTTCAACCTGAAATCTTCCTTCCATAGGTGCAAAACCAAAAATCATCCCACCTAAATTGTTAAGGAAACAGAAATGCAGTCAATTTCTTGTTAATTCGTGCTGTTATTTTACAGGACTCATATGCACTGTGTCGTGTCTTCAAGAAAAATGTGGCACTCGGAGAGTTTCAGAAGCAAAAGCAAGGCGAGTGCAGCTCATCACAAGCTAAAGAAAAACAAGAACAGTTTACAAGTGTCGGGGATGCTGGACAGTCATCTGGTTCAAATGAGCATGGTAAAGACAACACATGGATGCAGTTCATAGCTGATGATCTATGGTGCAACAAAACAAAATGATGGAAGTATGGAACTAATAAGACAGTTGTTTAACTTCATCTAACTAGAAACTTCTCAGTTGCACATTGACTTTGTATATGTTTGATAACATCACTTTTCAGTTCTCACTTTGGACAGGATGGCCACTAAGTTTGGGGGCTCTGACTCTTCATGTGGAGTTATAGTTCTCTTTTGGTACTGTAATAGAAAAAACATCCTACTTTGGTACTTCAAGGTTTGGTCTTCCTGTATCTGTCATTAAACACAGCGATTTATAGGGGGGAATACAGTACAACGACAGAAATTTATTTTGACACATATTATTTATTTACATATTCCTTTCATATGCAGTTACAGATATCATTTTACAGTAAAGGT